TCCCCAGCTCCATTCCAATGGAACTGCCAAATTCACAAGTGATGTTTAGCAGTTCCATAAGATAAGAGCGACTGGAGGCGAATAACTTGAGGTCATCCGTATAGAAAAGGTGGGTCACTTTTGTCCCTCCTTTCCGTAGTTGAAATCCCCTCCCGGAGCCCTCCAGTAAGGTACTGAGAGGGTTCAGAGAGAGGCAGAACCAGATTGGACTCAGACAATCACCCTGGAAGATACCCCTTCTTATCCTTATGTTGTTCTCCGCAGCCATCATCCGCTCACCCAGATGACAAAGGATCGTACTCCACTGCCCCATACACTGCTCGAGGAAGTCTCTAACTGTACAGTCTATCTTGTACAGCTCGAGGACTCTCTTTAGCCATGTATGGGGCACCGAGTCAAATGCCTTTCTGTAGTCTATCCAGGCGGCGGAGAAGTTCCGACGGTTGCGTTTCACCACTTTGCCAATAACCGCGTCAATGAGGGTTGGTTCCTTGTTTCCACGACCACCGCCCCGAAATCCATTTTGAGCGCGCGACATCACCTGATTTGAGTCCAGGTGAAAAGTGATTCTCGCGCTCAAAATGGATGTTAGTGTCTTGTATATGGTCGGTAGACACGTGATGGGGCGGTATTTGCTCGGGTCCGTGGTACCCTGGCCTTTAGGAACCAAATGGATGATCCCAGTAGTGAAGAGGCTCGGGAGCGAATTCTGGTTGAGAGCCTCTTGAAACTGTCGGGCGAGCACAGAGTGACACACCATGAACCCCTTCAGCCAGTAGTGATGCAGCCATTCAAGCCCCGGACTTTTCCAGTTCGGGGCCCTACGGACCGTTTCAGCTACGTCATCCGGCGTTATGATGACGGGGTCCATCGGCATAATACCCGCACACTGACTCGCCACAACTTCCGTCCAAGGGCCCTCGCTGTGGTTTACGGGCTCTGACCACAGACCGCGCCAGATTGCTACAGTGTCGGCCTGATTCGGTGCTGGACCCGTTCCACTTACCAATGGTCGCTCCAATGATTCATAGAGCCTCTTCTGATTACTCTGGAAGAGACGATTCTGGTTGAACCGTGTCGACCTCTCAGTATATCGCCGAATCCGCTTTCCCCAAGCAGCGATTCTCTGCTTCAGATCATCTATGCGCTCCGTCAGTTTTTGCGTTATATCCGGCTGGGACAAACTGACATTTGTCCCAGCAAACGCCGGTGCGCACAATTCTTGGCCTGTTGTTGCCTGATCTGAAGCATATCAGTCTGCCGATGAGAGCTCTAGCCTTTGCGATACGTTCCTCAATTCTTCTTCTCCATGCTGGGATAGCGCCACTATGGCCAGTAGCGCGTCCAGCCGTGGAAACCTTGGCGCCTATGATACGGCAGACTGCCAACGCGGCGCCAAAAAGAATTGAGTCCGTCTCGCAAAGGTCCCGGCTGGCTTCGAAATAGGTCACCAGCATTGGGTTCAGAGCCCTTACGACAGCCCGATTCCGCTTGCTTAGGGCTATGCGGGGAAGTCGCGGTCGATTTTCGAGAGGCGTACTGCGCGTTTCCACAATCGCCTCTTCCAATGTACTCCTCATATGCTCTAATTCCAGTTCCTGGGCGACTGTTCCATCATCGTTTGAATCAAACACAACTGGGGTATTCACGGCGGCATCCACGTTTGCGGGTTGCTCTACCATTTGTGGCGCCGCATCCTCAGCCGTAGCATTCTCATCCGACGAGGGAACAGCCTCACGTCGTAGCCGTTCGAGTTCGGCGACATCAAATATATTTGAGCGCAAGATATACCGAACTCGGTCTGCCAGGTTTTGCTCTGTGACGGTTAAAGATGGCTCCAGCTCAGCAAAAAGACGATGCATCCTAGCCCGATACGCCGAACATCCAGTTTCTTCCACTTTTGCCCTAAAGTACGCCCGCAGTGTATGACGACAAGACCAACGCATGCGACGTGCTCCACCAGCGGCGGGTGCCGCTTGCTGAGTCCGAGAAGACCCAGCCGACACTAAGCCTTCTGGTGGGGATGATGGATGCGGAGGGCTGCTAGTTGACCGCGCAGCTCCTCGCGCTCGGCTGGCGGCCCGCACGCTGCCGCGTCCAGCGCCAGCTCCAGACGCGCCCCGGCGACCCCCAGGCAGCGGCCCTTTGCGCACTATCTTCTTATCCATCATCCATTATTTGGGCGTCCATTAACGGGAGACGCCCAGGCCCGGCACCGTTTCGTGTGTAGCCATAAGCACAAACGGGCCTCTGCACCCTAAATTCTGCCGAGGCACGGCGCTCACACCTCTCGCAAGGCGCTGACTGGCTGCGTTGACGTAGCAGTTTTGTCACTTAACTGTTACGTCAGCGGGCGATGTGGTCGTCAATTCCCTACGCCTTACTATTATTATTATTATGTGTGGGGTATCTATATAGTTTTCTCATCTGGTTGGGATGTATAAATATATAATTATAAACGAAAATGAAAAGATAAATATACATAAATATCAATAAAATAAAATAAATACAAAAATACATAAATAAATAAAAGCCCAACCAGATGGAAGCCCTCGGCAGGGGGAGACCAAATGGCCACGGGTTAGGGAGAAAGGGAAAGAAACCGGCGGACGATGCGGGCAGTATCAAGGAGCACCACCTTCTGCATTTGAGCCCGGAGCGGTCCGTCACGGAGTCCCAGTCGCCTCAGATGACCAGAGAGGCTGACTGGGATTAGCCCATTCGCAGAGACGACTACAGGAATAATTTCGGCCGGCAGACCACCCCACATGTCGGTCACCTCGTGAGCCAGGTCCAGATATTTTGATTGCTTATCTGTTTCGGCTCTCACGAGGTTCTTATCATATGGGATGGTAATATCGACCAAAAATATCCTTGACTGTGCCCGGTCCATCAGCACAATATCAGGCTTATTCGCAAGAATAGTCCTGTCTGTGATGATGGCCCGGTCCCAATCGAGCCTGGCGCGGGCATTAGTCGCGGCAAGTACTTGTAATACGACAATTTCCGGTCCACGAGACCGTATTTCAGAGCGAGCTCCTGGTGTAGAATTCTGGCTACTAGGTTGTGCCTGTGCAAGTACTCAGAGTTAGAAAGCGCCGGACAACCGGAGATGACATGCCTAAGTGACTCACCGGGATGGCGACAAGCTCGACAGACGTCGACGGTGCCATCCTTTAGGATGTATCTCCGATAATTGTTGGTCTTAATAACCTGATCCTGTATTGCACAGACAAAACCCTCGGTTTCCCCGAAGAGGTCACCGAAACGTAGCCAGTTGAGGGAGGCAACTGTATCTACGAAGGGCTCATGTAGAGCCTTGTAGTACCTCCCGTGGAGCTCCTTCTCCTTCCATACGGTCTCCCGGTCGGAATTGCTAAGCACTGCTGGGTCCTGCCATTGCTCGTTGGCTAAGGATAGAGGGGTAAGCCCTTTATCACTAGAAATGACGTCATTATAGAATGGATCATCCGATCTCGCCAAGAAGTACTGACGGAGACTGCACACTTCGCGATTATGCATGGTGAGCGCGATCAAAAAGCCACGCCCACCATAATTTCGCGGCAAGTACAGCCTCATTACCGACGATCTCGGATGATGTATCCTATGGGAAGTCATGGTAGTGCGGACTTTTCTATCCAGGGCGTTAAGCAGTCTGAGTCCACCTGAGTATGCCAAAGGTATACATGAGGACAGGCATGACCCAGCCGTTATATGCGTGTGTCTTATTCACACAGGACAAAAGGCTGTTAAGCACTTTGGTCAAGCGTGCATAAAACACTTCGCAAACTGACTGTTTCATACCAGCCTTATCGATACCGATGTTCTGTGACATAGCCAGGTATCGGTATGTTTCAGCCTCGGAAAGGGTCCTTAAGTTGACGGGCATAGACAAGTCTATGCCCTCAGAGTTAGCAACCCTTCCCCTTTCAACATGGAGGACCGCACACTTATCCGTCCCCAGCTCCATTCCAATGGAACTGCTAAATTTACAAGTGATGTTTAGCAGTTCCATAAGATGGGAGCGACTGGAGGCGAATAACTTGAGGTTATCCATATAGAAAAGGTGGGTCACTTTTGTCCCTCCTTTCCGTAGCTTAAATCCCCTCCCGGAGCCCTCCAGTAAGGTACTGAGTGGGTTAAGAGAGAGGCAGAACCAGATTGGACTCAGACAATCGCCCTGGAAGATACCCCTTCTTATCCTTATGTGGTTCTCCGCAGCCATCATCCGCTCGCCCAGATGACAAAGGATCGTACTCCACTGCCCCATACACTGCTCGAGGAAGTCTCTAACTGTACAGTCAATCTTGTACCGCTCGAGGACCCTCTTTAGCCAAGTATGGGGCACCGAGTCGAACGCCTTTCTGTAGTCTATCCAGGCGGCAGAGAAGTTCCGACGGTTGCGTTTCACCACTTTGCCTATGACCGCGTCAATGAGGAGTGGTTCCTTAGTTCCACGACCACCGCCCCGACATCCCTTTTGAGCGCGTGACATCACCTGGTTTAGCTCCAGGTGACGAGTGATTCTCGCGCTCAAAATGGATGTCAGTGTCTTATATATGTTGGGTAGACCCGTGATGGGGCGGTATTTGCTCGGGTCTGTGGTATCCTGATCTTTAGGAACCAAGTGAGTGATCCCAGTAGTGAAGAGGCTCGGGAGTGACTTCTGGTCGAGAGCCTCTTGAAACTGTCGGGCGAGCACAGCGTGACACACTACGAACCCCTTCAGCAAGTAATGATGGAGCCCGTCGAGCCCCGGACTTTTCAAGTTCGGGGCCCTACGGACCACCTCAGCCACGTCTTCTGGCGTTATGGTGATGGGGTCTATAGGCATAACACTCGCACCCTGGCTCGCCACAACTTCCATCCAAGGGCCCTCACTGTGGTTTACGGGCTCTGACCACAGGCCACGCCAGAATGCGATAATGTCAGCCTGATCCGGTCCTTGGCCCGCTCCACATACCTTTGGTCGCTCCAATAATTTATAGAGCCCCTTCTGATCACTCTGGAAGAGACGATTCTGGTTGAACCGCCTTGACCCCTCGGAAAATCGTCGAATCCGCTTCCCCCCAAGCAGCGATCTTTTGCTTCAGGTCGTCTATGCGCTCCGTTAGTTTCTGCGTGATATCCGGCTGGGAGAAACTGATATTTGTCCCAGCAAACGCCATCCTAACGGTGCGCATAATCCTCGGTCTATTATTACCCGACCTGAGGCTTGTCAGTCTGCCGATAAGGGCTCTTGCCTTTGCGATACGGTCCTCGATTCTTTTCCTCCAGGCTGGGATGGCGTTAGTTTGTGTAGTAGCGCGTCCAGCCGTGGGAAGTTTGGCGCCAATAATACGGCAAACTGCCACTGCGGCGCCAAAGAGAATCGAGTCCGTCTCGCAAAGGTCCCGGCTGGCTTCCAAATAGGTCACCAGCATTGGGTTAAGAGCCCTCACGACAGCCCGATTTCGCTTGCTTAAGGGTATGCGGGGAAGTCGCGGTCGATTTTCGAGAGGGGTGCTGCGCGTTTCCAAAATCGCCTCTTCCAATATACCCCTCATTTGCTCTAGTTCGTGGTAGACTATTTCATCGTCGTTCGAATTAACCACAACTGGAAGATCCATGGCGGCTTCCACGTGTGGATGCTGGTCTGTCGAATGTGGAGCTGCATCTCCAGCCATAGCCGATTCATTCGACGACGGAATAGCCTCACGTCGTAGTCGTTCGAGTTCGGCATCATCAAATATTTTCGAGCGCATGATGTACCGAACTCGGTCTGCCAGGTTTTGTTCCGTGACGGGGATAGACGGCTCCAGCTCAGCAAAAAAGCAATGCATCCGAGACCTATACGCTATTCCCACAGTTTCTTCCCCTTTCGCCCTATAGTACGCCCGCAATGCGTTTTCGTTCATGGATTTTGTCCAACGCATGCGACATGCTCCACCAGCGGCGGGTGCCGCTTGCTGGGTCCGAGAAGACTCAGCCGACACCAAGCCTTCTGGTGGGGATGATGGATGCGAGGGGCTGCTAGGTGATCGTGCAGCTCCTCGCACTCGGCTGGCGGCCCGCAAGCTGCCGCGTCCAGCGCCAGCTCCAGACGCGCCCCGGCGACCCCCCAGGCAGCGGCCCTATGCGCATTCCTTTTTGTGTTTTTTCCATCATCCATTTTATGGGCGCCAAATAACGGGAGACGCCCAAGCCCGGCACCGTTTCGTAGTTGGGTCATATGCACAAACGGACCTTTGCATCTACAATTTTGCCTAGTCACGGCGCTAACACCTCTTGGCAGGATGCTGACTGACTGCGCCAACGTCGCAGTTTTGTCACATAACTGTTACGTCACGGGCGATGTGGTCGTCACTTCCCTACGCCTTTATTATTATTATGTGGGGTATCTATATAGTTTTCTCATCTGGTTGGGATGTATAAATATATAATTATAAACGAAAATGAAAAGATAAATATACATAAATATCAATAAAATAAAATAAATAAAAAAATACATAAATAAATAAAAGCCCAACCAGATGGAAGACCTCGGCAGGGGAGACCAAACGGCCGAGGGTTAGGGGGAAAGGGAAAGAAACCGGCGGACGATGCGGGCGGTATCGAGGAGCACCGCCTTCTGCATTTGAGCCTGGAGCGGTCCGCCACGTAGTCCCAGCCGCCTCAGATGACCCGAGAGGCTGACTGGGATTAGCCCGTTTGCAGAGACGACTACAGGAATAATTTCGGTCGGCAGACCACCCCACATGTCGGTCACCTCGTGAGCCAGGTCCAGATATTTTGTTTGCTTATCTGTTTCGGATTTCACGAGGTTCTCGTCACACGGAATGGTAATGTCGACCAAAAATATCCTTGACTGTGCCCGGTCCATCAGCACAATATCAGGCTTATTCGCAAGAATGGTCCTGTCTGTGATGATGGCCCGGTCCCAATAGAGCCTGGCGCGATCATTTTCGAGCACGGCTTCCGGCAATTACTTGTAATACGGCAACTTCCGATCCACGAAACCGTATTTCAGAGCGAGCTCCTGGTGTAGAATTCTGGCTACTAGGTTATGCCTGTCCAAGTACTCAGAGTTAGAAAGCGCCGAACAACCGGAGATGACATGCCTAAGTGACTCACTGGGATGGCGACAAGCTCGACAGATGTCGATGGTGCCATCCTTTAGGATGTATCTCCGATAGTTGTTGGTCTTAATAACCTGATCCTGTATTGCACAGACAAAACCCTCGGTTTCCCCGAAGAGATCACCAAAGCGTAGCCAGTGGAGGGAGGTTACTGTGTCTACGAAAGGTCCATGTACAGACTTGTAGAACCTCCCGTGGAGCTCCTTCTCCTTCCTTACGGTCTCCCGGTCGGAAATTGTCTGCACTGCCGGGTCCTGCCATTGCTCGTTGGCTAAGGATATAGGGATAAGTCCTTTATCACAAGAAATGACGTCCTTATAGAATGGATCATCCGATCTCGCCAGGAAGTAATTACGGAGGCTGCACACTTCGCGATTATGCATGGTGAGCGCGCTCAAGAGGCCACGCCCACCATGCTTTCGCGGCAAGTACAGCCTCATTACCGACGATCTCGGATGATGTATCCTATGGGAAGTCATGGTAGTGCGGACTTTTCTATCCAGGGCGTTAAGTTCAGTCTGAGTCCACCTGAGTATGCCAAAGGTATACATGAGGACAGGCATGACCCAGCCGTTATATGCTTGTGTCTTATTCACACCGGACGAAAGGCTGTTAAGCAGTTTGGTCAAGCGTGCATAAAACACGTCGCGAACTGACTGTTTCATACCAGCCTCATCGATACCGATGTTCTGTGACATACCCAGGTATCGGTATGTTTCAGCCTCGGAAAGGGTCCTTAAGTTGACGGGCATAGATAAGTCTATGCCCTCAGAGTTAGCAACCCCTTCCCCTCTCAACATGGAGTACCGCACACTTATCCGTCCCCAGCTCCATTCCAATGGAATTGCTAAATTCACAAGTGATGTTTAGCAATTCCATAAGATGGGAGCGACTGGAGGCGAATAACTTGAGGTCATCCATATAGAAAAGGTGGGTCACTTTTGTCCCTCCTTTCCGTAGCTAAAAACCCCCTCCCGGAGCCCTCCAGTAAGGTACTGAGAGGGTTCAGAGAGAGGCAGAACCATATTGGACCCAGACAATCGCCCTGGAAGATACCCCTTCTTATCCTTATGTTGTTCTCCGCAGCCATCATCCGCTCGCCCAGATGACAAAGGATCGTACTCCACTGCCCCATACACTGCTCGAGGAAGTCTATAACTGTACAGTCTATCTTGTACAGTTCGAGGACTCTCTTTAGCCATGTATGGGGCAGCGAGTCGAATGCCTTTCTGTAGTCTATCCAGGCGGCGGAGAAGTTCCGACGGTTGCGTTTCACCACTTTGCCAATGACCGCGTCAATGAGGAGTGGTTCCTTGGTTCCACGACCGCCGCCCCGACATCCTTTTTGAGCGCGCGACATCACCTGATTTGAGTCCAGGTGACGAGTGATTCTCGCGCTCAAAATGGATGTTAGTGTCTTGTATATGGTAGGTAGACATGTGATGGGGCGGTATTTGCTCGGGTCTGTGGTACTCTGGCCTTTAGGAACCAAATGGGTGATCCCAGTAGTGAAGAGGCTCGGGAGCGACTTCTGGTTGAGAACCTCTTGAAACTGTCGGGCGAGCACAGTGTGACACACCACGAACGCCTTCAGCCAGTAGTGATGCAGCTCGTCGAGTCCCGGACTTTTCCAGTTCGGGGCCCTACGGACCGCCTCAGCTACGTCATCCGGCGTTATGCTGACGGGGTCCCTGGGCATAATACTCGCACACTGACTCGCCCCAACTTCCATCCAAGGGCCCTCGTTGTGGTTTTTGGGCTCTGACCACAGGCTGCGCCAGAATGCGACCGTGTCGGCCTGATTCGGTACTGGGCCCGTTCCACTTACCATTGGTCGCTCCAATGATTTATAGAGCCTCTTCTGATAACTCTCGAAGAGACGATTCTGGTTGAACCGTGTCGACCTCTCGGTATATCGCCGAATCCGCTTACCCCAAGCAGCGATTCTCTGCTTCAGGTCGTCTATGCGCTCCGTCAGTTTTTGCATTATATCCGGCTGGGACAAACTAACATTTGTCCATGCAAACGCCTTCCTGACGGTGCGCACAATCCTTGGCCTGGTATTGCCTGACCTGAAGCATATAAGTCTGCCGATGAGGGCCCTAGCCTTTGTGATACGTTCTTCAATAATTCTTGTTCTCCAGGCTGGGATAGCACTACTTTGTCCAGTAGTGCGTGCAGCCGTGGAAAGTTTGGCGCCTATAATACGGCAGACTGCCAGTGCGGCGCCAAAGAGAATTGAGTCCGTCTCGCATAGGTCCCGGCTGGCTTCCAAATAGGTCACCAGCATTGGGTTCAGAGCCCTCACGACAGCCCGATTCCGCTTGCTTTATTATTATTATTATTATTGTGGTGCATCTATATAGTTTTCTCATCTGGTTGGGTTCTATAAATATATAATTGTAAATGAAAATGAAAAGATAAATATACATAAATATCAATAACATAAAATAAATATAAAAGTACATAAATAAATAAAAGCCCAACCAGATGGAGGCCCTCGGCAGGGGAGACCAAACGGCCGAGGGTTAGGGGGGAAAGGGAAAGAAACCGGCGGACGATGCGGGCGGTATCTAGGAGCACCGCCTTCTGCATTTGAGCCCGGAGCGGTCCGCCACGTAGTCCCAGTCGCCTCAGATGACCTGAGAGGCTGACTGGGATTAGCCCGTTTGCAGAGACGACTACAGGAATAATTTCGGTCGGCAGACCACCCCACATGTCGGTCACCTCGTGAGCCAGGTCCAGATATTTTGTTTGCTTGTCTGTTTCGGCTTTCACGAGGTTCTCGTCACGGATGGTAATGTCGAATAAAAATATCCTTGACTGTGCCCGGTCCATCAGCACAATATCAGGCTTATTTGCAAGAATAGTCCTGTCTGTGATGATGGTCCGGTCCCAATAGAGCCTGGCGCGATCATTTTCGAGCACGGCTTCCGGCAAGTACTTGTAATACGGCAATTTCCGATCCACGAGACCGTATTTCAGAGCGAGCTCCTGGTGTAGAATTCTGGCTACTAGGTTGTGCCTGTGCAAGTACTCAGAGTTAGAAAGCGCCGAACAACCGGAGATAACATGCCTAAGTGACTCACCGGGATGGCGACAAGCTCGACAGATGTCGATGGTGCCATCCTTTAGGATGTATCTCCGATAGTTGTTGGTCTTAATAACCTGATCCTGTATTGCACAGACAAAACCCTCGGTTTCCCCCGAAGAGATCACCAAAGCGTAGCCAGTGGAGGGAGGCTACTGTGTCTACGAAAGGCTCATGTAGAGCCTTGTAGAACCTCCCGTGGAGCTCCTTCTCCTTCCATACGGTCTCCCGGTCGGAAATGCTCTGCACTGCCGGGTCTTGCCATTGCTCGTTGGCTAAGGATAGAGGGGTAAGTCCTTTATCACAAGAAATGACGTCCTTATAGAATGGATCATCCGATCTCGCCAGGAAGTAATCACGGAGGCTGCACACTTCGCTATTATGCATGGTGAGCGCGCTCAAGAAGCCACGACCACCATGCTTCCGCGGCAAGTACAGCCTCATTACCGACGATCTCGGATGATGCATCCTATGGGACGTCATGGTAGTGCGGACTTTTCTATCCAGGGCGTTAAGTTCAGTCTGAGTCCACCTGAGTATGCCAAAGGTATACATGAGGACAGGCATGACCCAGCCGTTATATGCGTGTGCCTTATTCACACCGGACAAAAGGCTGTTAAGCACTTTGGTCAAGCGTGCATAAAACACGTCGCAAACTGACTATTTCATACCAGTCTCATCGATACCGATGTTTTGTGACATACCCAGGTATCGGTATGTTTCAGCCTCGGAAAGGGTCCTTAAGTTGACGGGCATAGATAAGTCTACGCCCTCAGAGTTAGCAACCCTTCCCCTTTCAACATGGAGGACCGCACACTTATCCGTCCCAAGCTCCATTCCAATGGAATTGCTAAATTCACAAGTGATGTTTAGCAATTCCATAAGATGGGAGCGACTGGAGGCGAACAACTTGAGATTATTCATATAAAAAGGTAGCTCACTTTTGCCCCTCCTTTCCGTAGCTGAAATCCCCTCCCGGAGCCCTCCAGTAAGGTACTGAGGGGTTCAGAGAGAGGCAGAACCAGATTGGACTCAGACAATCGCCCTGGAAGATACCCCTTCTTATCCTTATGTGGTTCTCCGCAGCCATCATCCGCTCACCCAGATGACAAAGGATCGTACTCCACTGCCCCATACACTGCTCGAGGAAGTCTATAACTGTACAGTCTATCTTGTACAGTTCGAGGACTCTCTTTAGCCATGTATGGGGCAGCGAGTCGAATACCTTTCTGTAGTCTATCCAGGCGGCGGAGAAGTTCCGACGGTTGCGTTTCACCACTTTGCCAATGACCGCGTCAATGAGGGTTGGTTCCTTGGTTCCACGACCACCGCCTCGACATCCATTTTGAGCGCGCGACATCACCTGATTTGAGTCTAGGTGAAAAGTGATTCTCGCGCTCAAAATGGATGTTAGTGTCTTGTATATGGTCGGTAGACACGTGATGGGGCGGTATTTGCTCGGGTCTGTGGTACCCTGATCTTTAGGAACCAAATGAGTGATCCCAGTAGTGAAGAGGCTTGGGAGCGAATTCTGGTTGAGAGCCTCTTGAAACTGTCGGGCGAGCACAGAGTGACACACCATGAACCCCTTCAGCCAGTAGTGATGCAGCCCGTCAAGCCGCGGACTTTTCCAGTTCGGGGCCCTACGAACCGCCTCAGCTACGTCATCCGGCGTTATGATGACGGGGTCCATGGGCGTAATATCCGCACACTGACTCGCCACAACTTCCGTCCAAGGGCCCTCGCTGTGGTTTACGGGCTCTGACCACATGCTGCGCCAGAATGCTACAGTGCCGGCCTGATTCGGTGCTGGACCCGTTCCACTTACCACTGGTCGCTCCAATGATTCATAGAGCCTCTTCTGATCACTCTGGAAGAGACGATTCTGGTTGAACCGTGTCGACCTCTCGGTATATCGCCGAATCCGCTTTCCCCAAGCAGCGATTCTCCGCTTCAGATCATCTATGCGCTCCGTCAGTTTTTGCGTTATATCCGGCTGGGACAAACTGACATTTGTCCCAGCAAACGCCGGTGCGCACAATTCTTGGCCTGTTGTTGCCTGATCTGAAGCATATCAGTCTGCCGATGAGAGCTCTAGCCTTTGCGATACGTTCCTCAATTCTTCTTCTCCATGCTGGTATAGCGCTACTATGGCCAGTAGCGCGTCCAGCCGTGGAAACCTTGGCGCCTATGATACGGCAGACTGCCAGCGCGGCGCCAAAAAGAATTGAGTCCGTCTCGCAAAGGTCCCGGCGGGCATCGAAATAGGTCACCAGCATTGGGTTCAGAGCCCTCACGACAGCCCGATTCCGCTTGCTTAGGGCTATGCGGGGAAGTCGCGGTCGATTTTCGAGAGGCGTACTGCGCGTTTCCACAATCGCCTCTTCCAATGTACTCCTCATATGCTCTAATTCCAGTTCCTGGGCGACTGTTCCATCATCGTTTGAATCAACCACAACTGGGGTATTCACGGCGGCATCCACGTTTGCGGGTTGCTCTACCATTTTTGGCGCCGCATCCTCTTCCGTAGCATTCTCATCCGACGAGGGAACAGCCTCACGTCGTAGCCGTTCGAGTTCGGTGACATCAAATATATTTGAGCGCAAGATATACCAAACTCGGTCTGCCAGGTTTTGCTCTGTGACGGTTAAAGATGGCTCCAGCTCAGCAAAAAGACGATGCATCCTAGCCCGATACGCCAAACATCCAGTTTCTTCCCCTTTTGCCCTAAAGTATTGCATTCATTATTATTTTGGGGCATCTATATAGTTTTCTCATCTGGTTGGGTTATATAGATATATAATTATAAATGAAAATGAAAAGATAAATATACATAAATATCAATAACATAAAATAAATATAAAAGTACATAAATAAGTAAAAGCCCAACCAGATGGAGGCCCTCGGCAGGGGAGACCAAACGGCCGAGGGTTAGGGGGGAAAGGGAAAGAAACCGGCGGACGATGCGGGCGGTATCGAGGAGCACCGCCTTCTGCATTTGAACCTGGAGCGGTCCGCCACGTAGTGCCAGCCGCCTCAGATGACCCGAGAGGCTGACTGGGATTAGCCCGTTTGCAGAGCCGACTACAGGAATAATTTCGGTCGGCAGACCACCCCACATGTCGGTCACCTCGTGAGCCAGGTCCAGATATTTTGTTTGCTTGTCTGTTTCGGCTTTCACGAGGTTCTCGTCATACGGAATGGTAATGTCGACCAAAAATATCCTTGACTGTGCCCGGTCCATCAGCACAATATCAGGCTTATTTGCAAGAATAGTCCTGTCTGTGATGATGGTCCGGTCCCAATAGAGCCTGGCGCGATTATTTTCGAGCACGGCTTCCGGCAAGTACTTGTAATACGGCAATTTCCGATCCACGAGACCGTATTTCAGAGCGAGCTCCTGGTGTAGAATTCTGGCTACTAGGTTGTGCCTGTGCAAGTACTCAGAGTTAGAAAGCGCCGAACAACCGGAGATAACATGCCTAAGTGACTCACCGGGATGGCGACAAGCTCGACAGATGTCGACGGTGCCATCTTTTAGGATGTATCTCCGATAGTTGTTGGTCTTAATAACCTGATCCTGTATTGCACAGACAAAACCCTCGGTTTCCCCGAAGAGATCACCAAAGCGTAGCCAGTGGAGGGAGGCTACTGTGTCTACGAAAGGCTCATGTAGAGCCTTGTAGAACCTCCCGTGGAGCTCCTTCTCCTTCCATACGGTCTCCCGGTCGGAAATGCTCTGCACTGCCGGGTCTTGCCATTGCTCGTTGGCTAAGGATAGAGGGGTAAGTCCTTTATCACAAGAAATGACGTCCTTACAGAATGGATCATCCGATCTCGCAAGGAAGTAATCACGGAGGCTGCACACTTCGCGATTATGCATGGTGAGCGCTCAAGAAGCCACGACCACCATGCTTCCGCGGCAAGTACAGCCTCATTACCGACGATCTCGGATGATGCATCCTATGGGACGTCATGGTAGTGCGGACTTTTCTATCCAGGGCGTTAAGTTCAGTCTGAGTCCACCTGAGTATGCCAAAGGTATACATGAGGACAGGCATGACCCAACCGTTATATGCGTGTGCCTTATTCACACCGGACAAAAGGCTGTTAAGCACTTTGGCCAAGCGTGCATAAAACACGTCGCAAGCTGACTGTTTCATACCAGCCTCATCGATACCGATGTTCTGTGACATACCAAGGTATCGGTATGTTTCAGCCTCGGAAAGGGTTCTTAAGTTGACGGGCATAGATAAGTCTATGCCCTCAGAGTTAGCAACCCTTCCCCTTTCAACATGGAGGACCGCACACTTATCCGTCCCCAGCTCCATTCTAATAGAATTGCTAAATTCACACGTGATGTTTAGCAATTCCATAAGATGGGAGCGACTGGAGGCGAATAATTTGAGGTCATCAATATAGAAAAGGTGGGTCACTTTTGTACCTCCTTTCCGAAGCTGAAATCCCCTCCCGGAGCCCTCCAGTAAAGTACTGAGAGGGTTCAAAGAGAGGCAGAACCAAATTGGACTCAGACAGTCGCCCTGGAATATACACTTTCTTATCCTTATGCGGCTTTCCGCAGCCGTCATCCGCTCGCCTAGATGACAGAGGATCGTACTCCACTGCCCCATATACTGCTCGAGGAAGTCTCGAACTGTACAGTCAATCTTGTACAGCTCGAGGACCCTCTTTAGCCATGTATGGGGCACCGAGTCAAATGCCTTTCTGTAATCTATCCAGGCGGCGGAGAAGTTCCGACGGTTGCGTTTCACCACTTTGCCAATGACCGCGTCAATGAGGAGTGGTTCCTTGGTTCCACGACCGCCGCCCCGACATCCATTTTGAGCGCGCGACATCACCTGATTTAAGTCCAGGTGACGAGCGATTCTTGCGCTCAAAATGGATGTTAGTGTCTTGTATATGGTCGGTAGACACGTGATGGGGCGGTATTTGCTCGGGTCTGTGACACCCTGATCTTTAGGAACCAAATGAGTGATCCCAGTAGTGAAGAGGCTTGGGAGCGACTTCTGGTTGAGAGCCTCTTGAAACTGTCGGGCGAGCACAGAGTGACACACCATGAACCCCTTCAGCCAGTAGTGATGTCAAGCCCCGGACTTTTCCAGTTCGGGGCCCTACGGACCGCCTCAGCTATTATTATTATTATTATTATTATTATTATTATATATTCCCTCAATGGACGTAAATGTGATTTAAGATAAATAATACGTTTAAAATATACTTGTTATATAATATTATATATTATATTATTATCTAGTCATAATGGATAAATAAAAATATTTGAATATATTGTGTATTTTTTATTAAACTCTGTCTACTCAAAGCTTAAAAAGCTTTATTTAACGCTTTATTAATAAATGTACTGGCGAGGGGGAGGGAGGTTAGTATAGTGTTTTTGTCACCCACGGTGAACTTAGAGGATCCTAGAGGTTTTATCCATGGAGAAGCAGTGGCCTGAGATGGCTGCTCTGCATAAACTTGCTGAGTTCTCCCCGGATGTGCGTAGGTGAACTAGTAACGTACCTACGGACATTCTGGCCGGGCCTCACCACTGATGCGACGGTGGTGGGGAGGGGAGTGTCACTATAACGACGCATCCCTTTTCCCACCCTTTGCGGTCGAAACGTTGGCATATGCAGCAAATCCACCGCGGGGGCCGAGAAAGTGCTTCCGGGGCACGTTTTTTCTTATCTCATGGTCTCCACGTAATGGACTCAAGGTCCGTTGCGCAAGTGCGGTGCCGTATAAGAAACGGGAATACACAGATGTCTTATAAGAATAGGGAGAAGAGATATACTCTCACAAGGATGGACAGCTGTCTGGACTATTTAACGGTGGAATTTCACCAAAAATCCACTTCACCCGTAGCAAGGTAGATTTGCAATAATCATATGCATGCATGCAATCACTTATATGCAATTTTATTTAGTAACTTACAGCCAAAATGTAAAATTTCCTCTTAATATGAACCTCATCTGCACGCTATACTCTCTGGTGATTAACTGGAACAGTATTATCAGTGGGACGCTTTCGACTCGGAGTTAATTCATTCCACCTACCCATCACGGTGAATATGAGATGGCATGCGGCCAGTTTGTACCCTGTAGACGCCCATGGAAAATACAAGTTTCGCACCTCTCTCTTTTTCTTTAACTTCGTATATCACGAAAAAATTCTTGTTTCTGAAACCGCGGTGATCCTGGGTGTTATCCGTCTATAAGCAATGGTGGAATTAGTTTTGAGATAATCCGGTCCTTTGTGGTATGGTAAGTGTGTAAAACTTTCAGTTAATGATTTTCTGATAGCTTATTTCTCAAAATATTTTAACCAGCACTGAATTTAAAAGGTCGTTGAAGTGATATATATTTTAACGGAATATATCTACAAATGTACATCAGATCATAGCTACGAAATTTTTTACAGATATATAATATTATGACCTATTTCTTTAGACTAGTTTAGAGCGAAGTCGTTTTGTTGGAAGATTAAGATTTGTACCGCACTTAGATTTCCCATAAGCCACGTATTTTACAACAACCTCAGCAACATTATATGACCCGCAACACTTTAATACAACTTTGGAAGGCTTAGGGATCTTTTTTACAATGTACATGTTGGTCATATCTTATGATTTTTAATTTTCATCCTGTAGATATTATAAACTTATACATTATTTTTAACTTTAAATTAAAAATTGATCACGGGAGTGCCATTGTTCCGATAGACGCTGGTACAATCGTCTCGGACCAATATATCCATCCTTTAAAGCTTATCAAATGTCTACTACTGAACACAATCCTCCCTTGTGGATTGCCTCATATATATTTAGCCACAGTTGCCATGCGTAGCAGACCGGTTGTCATCCGAATCTTATAGTATTTTGAGTTGTTATCAGTAAGATAGTAGTGCAGCCCAACTCCTTTTTCGGTTTCTTTCTGTCGCCTTTTTATGACACACATGTGATGACATGGAATGGAGCACGTAAATGTTTAATGTTAAGAACCAAAAATTGCATCGGAAAACAGCGCCTTGAGCCTACAAATAGTTTCACATCTCATATCCTACTAATATTAGTAGGATTTGAGATGTGAAACTATTAGTGAACATTACGAGATCTAGAGCGGCATAAAAGTATTTGCTACTCCATAGCGTGCGTGTCGTAAGAAGCGACAGAGGATAACTCAAATAGGAAATGTCGACATCTTCCTGATAACAACACCAATTATTTAAAAACTGCCGTACCCTTGCCGCCCGCAAAGTGTTGACTGTGGAACACATAGGCAAATAAGGTCCTAAGGCAATCTATGTGGGAACTCTACGTTCAGCTGTGGACTTTATTAGACTGATATAATGATTATTACGATGATGATGATTGAGTTGTCAAGTAGCACTCTGTTTTATTTCGCTTTTTATTTTCTTTTGCTAGTTTTTACCACAAAATATACAATATATTTTATAAAATTTTCCAAAAAATGTGAGCATTTTCAACAATACACTGTTGTCAGCAGTATTACATGGTGTTCGACTAAAGGTTTGTCTTTTGCAACAACGTCAAATCCAACTCTTTCGGACACGGTATACTATCTGATTATCACGGTATGAATTAAACCGGACTGCAGTTGCTACTATGTCTGATTGACACAGTGCAATTTAGAAACCGCATATT